GTGTTCAATACATTTTTTAACTGAAAAGTAGTTGAACTTTACATGTTGATTTAATTTGTATATTTTTACAGAGCATGCGTGAATATGACGATCCATTTAGCTTGTCGTTCAACCATTCTATCCAAGGTGTGGAGGTGACCAACGAAAATAACTTTCGAGTACAGGTTAGACACGTGACGTTGTTACCTTTAGTTAAGTTCGTATAAAGTGTTTTGCTTAAGCTATACATTAAGCCTTCCGGTTTGAAGTCAATCATGCTTCACTTAAGTAAGTTTGACCCGTAATCGTTTTGTCTGTCTGTCACATAGTTTGTTGGCTACCCATTTGAGCGGTTGAATGTCGATCTTTTGGTTATTTGTTTCCTCTTGAAGTTTCATGTCAGGTCTGTCGGGTGGTTGGCAAGTTGATTAGCTAGTTGGTTATCGTTTCAGTAAGGTAAATCATCCAGTCAGACAGAAGGTTGTTGGATAAATCCCACAATTTCTGTCAATCCCAGACATTCCTTCACAAATTTGCCAGTACGTCAATTAACAATTCTGCAATTATTGTTTGCCATTTCATTTCCCCATGGGCTATTTTCATGATAACCAGCTCATCCTAAGATACCATTATTTCTGGTTTGGTTACAGGTGCGAGCTAAGATTAATGACACAGAATGCAGTGGCGTAACCTGTTTAGGAAATGAGGCCGTGCTCTCTTTCTCTGTTGGTCCTGAAAATGTTACTACCGTATTACCTGACAGCCCTACGAGTACGATATCTGGTCCTAACGGTGACGTTTCTTCATCTCAACCCATTCAGTACATTCCCTGTATGCATCATGATGTAGGCTTGGCTTGTCATTTCCAAATTAACTGTAGAATTTCGCCAAATCTTCGGATGATGACCAACTAGACCCCTCCACATTTTGTTTCCATTTCTACTACAACAAAATCCAAGCATGCTTATAAAAATCTCACTCTAGAAAAATTAATTAAAATTAATTTGCAAATGATATTATTATGTTATTTTGAGTTAGGATTGCTTAGGACTAAGCTGTGTTATAAGTCCCTGAAAGCAAACATTTTGAGATTTTGTCTTATTTCTGCAGATCCAACACCAAGCATTTTACCATATGTCTTGGCTGGAGTTGCCACTTTACTTCTGTGTCTTTTGCTACCTGTTTTGTTTCGGCACCTCCGCAAGCAGAGAAGGCCAGATTCGATGAGCCAGTTCATACCAGATCATGAAGAATCCAACTACGCTTCAAAATCAATTTCGATAAGTACGCGAATCTGTTCTACCTAGATCCTTCTAAAAAGTGTAGTCGTTGTAAACGAAACAATCGAAGCCGTACCTGATGAATTCTTGCATGTTTTTAAACAGTGATGGTCATTAATTGATTATTAATTCCGTAATGCATTTTAAATTTGATTCTGAAAAATGTGAAACACAGAAGTTTATATGACATAATAAATGGAATTTAATCAATTCAAAAATCAAAATAGGGAAACTAATTGTCATCGTCTGCAAAAATCAAAACAGGGAAACTAATTTTCATCGTCTGTTTGTTTTCAAGGCAACGTCATGGACGAATCATTTTCCCACTTCGAATGTGATCGCAATGCTTTGACCGAAATCAGCCCAATATCTCAGATTGGTAAAGGAAGCTTTGGTGTTGTGTACAAAGCTTTTGCTTATGGTACTGTCAGTGGCAAGCTAGGTTATTATCCCGTCGCTATCAAAGGACTAAAAGGTAAGCTCATGCTTCAAAGGCAAAAGTGTCATTCAATCAGAATTCTTTACGGAAATTGTTTCAACCTTGTATTAACATCGATTTTGTGTCGTTTAACCCCTGACGAGTTTTGTTCGCGCGAGATTCCGTAACACCCCTAAGTCTCAAAATACAAATGCTTTAACAAAACCCCCTAGTCAATTGAGAGTCGTAGAGTTATTGAACTGTTGGAAGTACAATGGTATGGCTTCTATCACTGAACCATTAAAGGAACACCTCAATGTTAAAATACAGTAATGGCTTCTGTACTCTGTATTCCGTCTTTCAGAGAACGCAACCAGAGATTTGAAAGAGAGCTTTTTAGAGGAGATTCGTTTGATGATAGACATCGGTCGCCATCCTAACATTCTTGCCATTCTTGGATGCTGTACAGTTGATGAACCTTACTTACTCATCACCGAATTTATGACGTATGGAGACCTACTACATTTCCTGTGGAAGACAAGAGAGGCAATAATTTACCCTTCATAATAATTCTCACTCAGCCAAAATCTTAAGTCAAGATATTGTAAAACGTATCTTTGTAAGCGTGTCAACACCTTTCAAATATTGGTTTTGCGTTATTGTTTGCTTAACAACTCACAACCTTTTCAGAACTCAATTCTTTCGAGAATTGAATTTGTGTGTTTTGTCCCAAATTGACAGAGCAAGCTAACTGAAGAAGATCCTGTATACCAGTTGACTGAACTGAATCTGTTCCAGATTGCCCGCCAAGTTGCATGTGGAATGGTAATTAGAAGCCCATTGTCGCTTTACCACAGTTTTGCTTCGTTTAACCAGTGGGTTTTTGGGTTGTGGGTTCTTCCAGTTATTTGTTTCTGTCTGTTTGAGAGATATTTATGGCTTTATTTTACCCGTAGCTTTCAATTCAGTTAATTCATTAGGGTTCTTGCTATGGTGATTGTTTGCAGGAGTATCTATCACAAACACGATATTATCATGGTGACCTTGCTGCAAGAAACATATTAGTGGGGAAGAATCTATTGGTCAAGGTGTCTGACTTTGGTTTATCGGATGACACTTACGAAATGGGTTATAAACGACTTGATGAAGGCCGAAAGCGAGCAGTGAAATGGGTTAGTCTGGAGACGAATACCACCAACAGATGCTCCATCAAGAGTGATGTGTAAGTCCGATTTGCCACCCTAGATTTTTTAGTTTAACGTAATGTCTGTATCAAGTTAAGGACACTTGCTATGAAGACGGACAACCGAAATAAAACAGGCCAAATCGCAATGTCTCCTGTTCTGGATAAATAAAGGAAACTAATATGGTCTTTGGATAATGTATCGCCATGCCATTTACAATCTTTCTTAAAGATTTTCCATTGAGAGTGCTGTAGAGTCGTATAGGCCTACATCAGGGCATTGGTAGAGATTTCTTGTCACGTGGGGGATGATTTCAGCACGGCACATTGCCAGTGAATTAAAAAGTGGGGGGGATGATTATGTTGGTAATCCCCCGTCAAAAAAAGGGGGGGGGAGATATATCCCCTATCCCGGGATCTCCGCCCATGCTTCAGGACATGTGCCCAATCACAAGAAATGATTTTTCACAAATGCCCTGTCTGACTGTTTCAGATTTACTAGTGAAAACTATGGTCAAGAAATTTCAATCGTAACCTACGCTGACATTGCACTGTCATCCTACTGTTTATTTGATGGCTTATTTCAGATGGTCGTTTGGTATTGTGCTTTATGAAATCTTTACACGTGGAAACGCACCCTATCAAGGCCTTAGCAACCAAGAAGTGATTGAGAAGCTAAAGTCAGGATACCGCATGGAGCGGCCTAAGGATTGCCCATCGGATGTGTAAGTTCCTGTTAAATTATCATGTAGAGATTATTGAGAGTATTTAGATCAGCACCAACTTTATGTGGAGATCTATTTTGCAGCATAACATCATTCTTTTATCTTTGGACTGCAGGTATGCGATGATGCGTAAATGTTGGCAGGAGAACCCATCCAAACGACCATCTTTCACTGACCTATACCAGTCTTTAGATAAGATGTTGGGTCAGCACTCAGACTACTTGAATTTTGAGGAATCTGAGACTTGCCCTGGTGAATCCAAAGATGTAAGGACAGAAGGGGAACAGTCACAGGTAAATTATCCATAATATAGAGCTTTGATAGGCCGAGTCGCCACTCTATGTCTTGTATACGTGTATGCGCTACTTCTACGAACGAGTCAATCGACAACGAAATTGTGCCATATTATCATTGGATAAAATAGATTTCACTGAAATGAAATAGATCTTTACCCTGTCTTCTGTATAATCATAAACTACAGCAAATTAAATAAAACCGAGTCAAATATGTGGGATAAAATACAGTGATATTGACAACAACAAAGTGATTTCTGTCTCCTTTTTCTTTCAGGACTCTTCCTTATCTTCGGGGAAACCAGACGAATTAAAGTTGTGGTTACATTTGAATGGTTCTTTTCCAGGGGGTACAAAAACCATCGATTTCGTTCCATTCAATCAGGTGGGCGAGAATTTCACACAGAGTAATAATTCCTCCAGTCGGAGCGTTGAATTGGAAGAAAAGATATTCAAACGTGATCGTGATTGCGATGTTTTAACTGCGTGATATAAAATCACATTGACTCAACTGACTCTGCGAAAACGGGAAAAATTTACACTGGGGAAAATCCGTTTCCACTTCAGAAAAATCATAAAAAATATGCTGCTTGTATGAAGGATTCATTATTCTGGTCTTTCAAACATCACGACTTTTGTACACGGAATATTAAGCCATGTTTAGATGTCCGTAAAATGCATTTCTGATTGTATCTTTTTTATTTTATGAAGTATATACTATGTTTCTGCAAATTTACCTATGGATTAGAAATCTAAGTAGTCAGACACAAATAAAAGTAAAACACCCAAATAGATCTATGGGGTTATTACTCGTCGAATGACGATGTGAAATCTGCGTATACATCAATATTCGTCATGCACCATTACATATTGTAGCATGCTGGCACTTTATTCATTAATTTTGTCATGAATTAAATGAAGTAAAGCTGCGCTTCCCTGTAAACCAGTGTGTTATAGCAGAAGTTGGAAGAAGCTATACTTACAAGATTAGGTTTTATGGACCTCACTTTCTCCGTTACAGTTGTAGTTTGCTCCATAGAGGTTACAAAGACTTGTCGTCAGAGCAACAGCAAATTTCACAGCATGAATAAAAAAAAAGCTCATTAAACAGGTGTCAAAATACCAAATTCCCTTAATGCCAAGTAAATAGAACAGATCTTTCTGAGTAGTTAATATCATTGTCATTTTCTACGCATTTATCCTGCAGTATATAGGCCTTAATATCTAGATTAATATAGGGAACCAACATACTAGTATGTCTTGCTGTATATTAAACTGTAACACAGCCGTTGAAAACTGCTTTTCAGTGTTCTTTGAACACCATTTTATGTATGAAATTCTTCACTTGGCCATTTATGTACATATTTTGCTAAGTTTTAAGAAACAATTTGTTCTTTTTTAACTTAATTTTGTAGTGTTTAGTAGCTTCCCAAGCTTTTCAATAATATTTTGATTACACCTGTGTTAATGTAATATTAAGATAAATTTCCATTGAATTTTTCTTATTTTTAATGGAAGGTCACTGAAGACTTTCTGCAGTTCCTTGGTTACTTCTTGTATAATCATTAACCGCACTGTGCTGATGGTATTCTTATTCATTAATTTTGTTGTAGATGATTCATGGGCTGAACGATTAGTTCACAACTTATCGTTTGGGCGTGTTTTAACAATAAACACGTGTGACCGAGTTATGCCCGAATGTCCTTTGTGGAACTAATATGCCATCTCGCTTAAATTTTGCTGTTGGCTGCAACTCTCATGTCGTTGATGTGACAATACGCCATCAGATCCTGGTTCTAAATGGTCAAAGAGATGATCCAAAGCATCCATCGTTCGTGCAGTGTTTGTTGAACCATGGGGAAAGGACTCAGCAATAAGTTGTTTATTGTAAACAAAATACCACAAATATTGCTAGGATATCACTGGACCCACTTGTCTGGTTAAGCTGCTGGCAATAATCAGGCATTTTTGAGTGTATCATTCGTCTGACTCGGTGGTGACGATCATCGAGCACTTGAAGTGCCAGAGTTTAACTCCTTCTGTGTCCTTCCTCCATGGTTAAACTATGGTTGACTTTAGTCGTCTCTCGAACATGCCCTTAAAATGTCAATGTTTTTCTTGCTATGCAACAGTAAACCTTGATGTATTTTTCTACAATGATTGTCTGGTCAAAGTTTACAACTAACGCTTTCACATATCGGGTCCATGTGCCGCATGCGCATTGTGGTACAAAGGTGCATGTTTGTTGGGAGCAGGTCTCTTCAAGAATCCATTGCCTGTTGTTATCGTCAAACTGAAACAAAAAGAAGTAAGGCCTCGACTTCAGTCAAAACTAAGACTGGAAATGAGCTCCGTAATGAATAGACCGATTGCATCTACTAAGTCACGTGAGCTTCATTGGGCGTAAAACATCAACAAAAATGGCGGTCTCCGGGAGCAAATGGAAAGCCGATTTTCGGTATAGAACTCAGACATCAGTATTCTGAGTACATTTATTTTTACTAAATGGTGTTTATTTCACACTCTGCTATAAGAGGACACAATGTTTGTTGATATTTAACTTTAATGGTCACGTGAGTTATTGGGCGCAATTGGTCTTTTGGCCAATTAATCTTTAAATCTCGTGCAGAAAACATAAAATATTAACTGCTTGGAATTAAGGTGTAACGAACATAATCTTTAGTTTCCAAAATTAATAAAATTTGATTCAAATGTGCAGCGCTCAGGTATGAAATATACTCTTTAATAAAATGGTCATGAAATAAAGCGAGGCCGAAATCTTGGGTAGAATTCAACGAAACCTTTAGTAAAATAAAAAGGGGAAAATTGACACTGTTGTCGTTAATGGTATGCATTTATTTACGGATAAGAAGTCAAACATTTACAAAAGAGCCCTATGCAGCGCTATAATTTGAAAATCACACAAAATCATCCTATTTTTGTGGAACAAGTAGTGGATTTGTGGACAAGTAATGGCCCAAAATCTCAAAGAGGGTTATCAACTTACTTGTACAACTTGTATCAGCTGGTCGTCGTTGGTTAATCTCAGTATGAGATCGTTCCATGACTGAACTCTAGGACAGATGTCAACATCTCGTTTCTGCACAGAGTTCTTGATTGGCAGGTCATCTCTTAAGGTGAAGTAGTTACCATACATCGCAAGGATTTTTGCCCGTTGGTCTGGCGTGATATCGATGAAGTGTCGCCCGTCCTTTGGCGCTGCTTCCTTGGCGCTGAGCAGACGCCGATGTACGCCGTGGAGATAAGCACGATAGTTGTTGACTTGTTGCTTCTGAAAATACGTCAGGTGTAGAATTTCTCGAAAGTTGATGTAAGGTAAACAGTCGGAGATACTACATGTTGGATAGGATCTGCTGGAATCACTTCCGATAGAATTTTGATGACTTGCTTGTACAACATAACCGTACAAAACCACCGCACTCAAGTACACTACCAGCATAATTTTTTCAGGCTTTTCAATCACTCGATGAAATGAACCTCTCCGAGTTTGTGAACAACCAGCACTTAATTAGCAGTCAATGGACGCGGGCGATATTTATAGTAGTTTCGCAGCGATTAAGAACATTCTATCGAATAAAATGTGGACAAATTTGTGCAGCAAAGTCGAGCTTCAAGCCAGTAATCTTGATCTGAAGTCAGTAATATGTATCACTTGTGCATCCAAAGGAAGTGAGAAGCTGCAGATCGATCTCCTTTATATGTTGTGATATTTTAAAAATCAGGGGATTGTGTAGTAGATTGATTTGATGAATGATGGGGTACATAACAGATACAACGCACCATAAGCGGCATTCGCGACCACCCACAAAGGGCATTAATTGCTTTAACTTAGTAACGATTCATAAGGTCATTATCTACGGGTTTCTGAGTTGGACGGTGCTCAGTGAGATTACGATGTAACTAAATATGTACGTTAGTAAGCTTTGTATCACCTGCTTTCCATGGGGGTATTCGGCTTCACCAAAACACATATTTATTTTTGGCTTGGAGAAATTAAATTTCCGGCAGATGTTTGAAACGTAATAATTTGTGACTTTCGTAAAAAGGAGCAGCTGGCTTAATTTACACCTTTGTTTATCTCTCAGTCTCTAATACAACTTTTCCAAATTGAAGTAATTATGTCTTCACAAAGATTTTCGTTGTCTTGTCTATAATTCCTTTTGGTACGTGGTCAAATGGTGGCGTCATTAATGTTACTGTAATAGGGTACAGATAAAATGCACTGTCTGCATCACACAAAGTTTTAAGTGGATTTGACCGAAACATTTTCAAAATAATATGCGATTCCAACAAACTGATTATTATAGCAATTGACTAAATTCACAAGAGAACATCATTGTCACCATTTTTTCCACAACCACCTACTTTTGTTTTGAATGACCTTGTTGTCCATGGCAAACTGTTGCTCTCTGCATTTTGTTATGTGCTCGTGCTGGACATTTTCAGTCGAAATTTACAAATCAGGAAATCTATAAATCGGAAAGACTGAAATTAGGGACAAGACGTTTTAGAGTAAAAATCACTATGAATTTAGACTGAAAAAGGCTGAAAATAGCGCCTTTCAGAGGAAGCTTGAGTGAAATTTCAATCTTTTGGAGTGAAGAAATATCACTCCATTTTGTCTGGTCCTTAATTTCAATCGGAGGGATTAAGTTTTCACTCGAATAGAGCGAATTTTCACTCTTTGGAATTTAGAGATCATGCAAACTTCGGATTAGCTGCTTGTGTACAGAGGGTAAAACTAAATTTATTGGAAATCGCTGTAGGTCGTTCATATTGTATGCAATATTCATACAAAGATTCACTAATGCAAATCAAGCCAATTTTGAATTGCTGACATTTGCAGGAAAAAAATTAATCTGTTCATTAATCGTTTACATCTTTTGTATGTACGAGTTATTATGGTCAAACCACCCAGGTTCTTAACGACCGAGTTAATTGCATTGTAGTACGTAAGTAACTATCTCCAAGAGTTTCGAAATTGTTACTAAATAATGAAAATGAAAAGAATGCAACTTCGACATTATAAAAATCCTCGAGGAAACTACCAGCTAACTGAACTTGAAGCTTTCAAGAAATTAATCCCTTTGCACGGGATATTGCCATTATGTCCGAAAGAGCCCTCTGTAAATTCAAGGCTCAATGTCACTGAAAATTAAAACATTAAACAACAGACAGGGATGGCATTTGCTTAGAAAATCCGGACTATTGCCAATATCAACATAATATTCCATTCAAAGGTTACAACGAGATAAAAAATGTTGGGGCCAGGATGACGTTCTTCCGTAGGGGTCGGTACCAGACTATACGTGTGCAGTGAGGACGCCTGCTTTTCAAACAAGTACGTCATGTCAACATGATTGAAACTAAACATAGTTTTCAATCGCATATTCCAGATGCACGAATTAATTATTAACAGATGCAAAGGCAGTATTACATTCAGACAGAGAATTCAAATACACCATGTACATTCCAACGTGTTCTTCAATTTCTAAGCTATAGTAAAGTCCTGTAATTGTGCAGATATCGAAAAACTTTAATAGCTCCATATTACAGAGAAGTCAAGTTGGGTCCTAAACGTTTTTTTCTTTTTTGTTTTAAACATCGTTTAATTTACAAGATAAGAGAGCACAGGCTACAAAGTAATTACACTTTTTCTACTCAGTGTAGGTACGTTGTAATGGGGGCACAGAAGAGATCTCACGTAAAAGACTTCAAAATTCTGCATTGACGATTCTCCTTGATCCGATTATTAGCAATACAGTTTTAGTCTAGATAGACGTGTTAACAAACTAAATGTACTTCCAGAAATAAAAGAAAAATACTGGTCTGAAGTGAGGTTGCAATAGGAAAATAATGAAACATTTTAGCCACCTGCCAACGGGGAAAATTTTTGCCAAACCACTTCTTCAGTGATATTTGTGATAATCTTTTAGCCAAGTAATTTAGCGACACAGCAATACACCTTGATGTATTTCTCGGCCACCACAGACTCATCAAAGCTGATGACTGCAGCTCGAACAAGACGAGTATGGGCGCTACACCCGCAATCAGATACAAAGCTACACTGATTCTGCGTGCATCGCTCATCCAAGATCCATTGTCTGTCGCCGGTATCTGCGAACTAAACAGAGAATAACAAAGGGGTGAGTGGAAGTTCAAATATCATTGTTAGGGAACCAATATACACAGATCAATTAATGCACAAACTAGTGTTTATTTAATAAGGGAGTAAGCTAGCTTTTGGCCAAAGATTCTGCAAACCATATTCAATCATACTAACTTATAAAGAAACGGTATGTGTAGTGAGGGGAATTCACAAACTTAGACCATCAGAATCACTTCAACAATTAAGTTTTCCTTACAAAATATATCAGTTTTTCTTACTTTAGATGCACGACAATGAGCTTAAGTAAAAATGTTCATTACCTGTATAACCTGTACAAGTTCATCATCGTTTGTAAGCCCCAACACCAGAGCATCCCACTGTTCCTCGCGGGGGCATACGATTATGCTGGTTCGCTTCTGTCTGGTTCCAATTTGTGACACTAATGGTAGCTCCTCAGCTTGACTGAAATAGTTACCAAATTGAGATAGGATCTGAGTCTTCTGTGCTGGGGTCAGTGTGACTATAGAGGTGTGACGAATTCTTGTTGGGGCACTCCGGTATTTGTATGCAGCACGCCAGCGGCGGATGAACCGTCGCTTTCGGTGAACTTGAAGTTTCTGTTGTAGGTTGAGTTCTATGGTTACTTGCATATGAATGTAAGGGATACAGTCTTGAAGAGTGCACACGTTTCTATGTAGTATGTCATCGTCGGAGTAGTTGCGAAGTAGTTGGCCAGGGTAACGTACCATCGTGCTTCCACCGCTACCCCTGCTGCTGCTGCCGTGTTGTCCGTGAGTGCCACTGTAGGTAATAGTGCTGCTATGCTTATCGTAATTGGCATAACCACCGGTAGCCAAATGAAATGGAAATAGCACAAGGGTGTGAAGTAACAGACTGACAGTAAAGTGATGTGATGTCATTTTTGCTATCCACAAGCATCTGTATAAAGAAACAGAGTCATGAAACACTATTCAATTGTCATGAGTTTTCAGATGCAAAATCGCTTGGTGGCTGGCTCCGTCGATCAATCTGTTAATTGGGCAAGTTATCTGAGCTGATTAATAAGTCGGTTACCTAGATTTTTTCTTCTTACAAGCAAATTGGTTCTCAATCGCCTAGTCGGCCAATTAGTCGTTTTGCTTGAGTATTTTAACCCTGTCATAATGGCAATTCAAACGGCTTTCTGTCGGTGCATTCACTGAAATTTTTCTTAAAAGACAAAGCTATCAGTGTTGGCTGTGAAATCTGAATCTCATGTCTACAAACTAAAAGTCTGTATATCCGTGCATCTGTTTTCGTAAATGGTTTGTTCTGGGCATTTCAATCAATTTGACAGGACACTTACGAAAAAAAATCAATTCCAAACAGGAGGCTAGCTGCTGGTGTTCATAGATCATTTTTTATTGCGTGCAGTAGTCAACATTCTTTGAGCTCATTTCAAAGACAGAAAAAAATCAATATTGTGGCTAAACAGTTTAGAATCCATGGTCTATTTTATGAGAAACACTATCCGTGCACCACTGAATTGCAAGGTGTTTACGATAGAACAAAAAGTGATTATTCACACGCTGCCAATAATTAAGAATTCTTCCACTGAAGTGCACCCACAAAGAGTTTGATAGTGACAAAATCTTTTAACCATAAAATTCAGTAAACGACGGCATGTCTGGAGGTGTTTCGAACAAGTTGGAAATCTTATCTCGAATTTTTTTGAATCTGTGAAATCCCCGATTCTTACAGTCCTCTATTCTCCAACAAGTAAAGGATTTAGCGATTTTTCAGGGTTAACATTTAGTGACCAAATTTTAAATTCATCTTATCTTTACTTAGTAAGGAAAGTCCAATTACGTCAAAGTTTTGAATGTGCCAACTGTCATCGTGCAAAATAAACCGAAGAGCAGAATTTTAGTAATTTTTTTCTCAGGGTGCGGAAGCTGACTCAAAGATATTACACAAGTAAACATAACAGTAAACTAGCATCAAATAGAAGATGGAATAGAAAACGAGCATTAACATTAATTTGTAATTATAAAAGGGACTAGTTATACAGCACTCTAACGTGTATTCGAATACTTGCTTACTCAGGCAAAGTGTACTCGTATACTTGCCGCGAAAAAATACTTGTCTTTGGAATCGTATTCAGTATTAGGGCCTAAAGGGGCAAAATTTTATGTGGTCAAATGACCTAAAAGGGAATTGGATAAGAATTCCCAGTCGATAAGACATGATTTTTATTTTCCATTATTGATAGAATAGCTGTAAATGTACAGTATATTGCCACTTTGCTCCTATCTGGTTTTAAAAGCGCTAGTCCATCCCACGTTTATTCCGTTATGCCGTATTGTAAAAATTCGTTCTTTGTTTAGAATTTTTGTTAGAAAATTAATATGAGAATGCTCAACCCTGGCATTCATCTAATTTACTGTTTGTGCAATGAACCATATAAGAGGGGGAGGACTGAAACGGCTAGGTTTATTGTTGTTTGTGAGTCCTCTCCATCTTGCTCATCTTGATAGGCCTTGTATTGAAATTTGGATTCCAGATGGTCTTAATAAGAATGATAGGAAGCCATCTGTGACAAAAGACGTTGTAAGCCGTTCCAGGCTGTAAACTGTTTATTAAGAAGATAGCCATGGGATAATTTATAGCATATAATTTGTAATGCAATTTCTTTAAGGCTCCCTGTCGTTTGAAATCGCTAATTACCATTCCAGGCCTTATTTTCTCAATCTATTCCTGTATATTGCAGATGTATAAACATCCGTCTCACAGCATTCTGCGATATACCGGGCATATACCCTTAGTGTGCTATACTTCTATAAAAAAGGCAATTTCTTTTCAGATTTGGATTAAATAAAGCAGCTTGCTTGCTCTCACAATTGTAATAAAAAATTTCAAGAAAATAACTGACAACTTCAGCCAATGTGTCACGCGTGTGTTTCCATAAAAGAGTAGACTACTCATGAAACCAAAGTATTAACAAAAGGACGACGCAGGACGTTATCAAAGTAAGACTAGAATAACTTAGCCAGAAATATTTTAAATCTCTTGTTGCCATTGAACAAGTGGTTCGAAGAAAACCTGATTTCGAGAGAGAGAAAATTGCCAAAGGAATAAGACTTAAACAGTCAGTATTTGTCCTTGGGTTAACATTTCTTCTAAGATATATCTTAATATCGCTAATCTTACTAATCACAATTTCAGTGTTTTCTTCCCGAGAGAACAAAGACATTTTGAGAATACCAAAGTCGGTTTGCTTTGCTACCTTGAAATCAGAGTAAGGAAGAACGACTGGAGGCTATACTCACCAAATCGTCTTACAGTTGGTGTTCTGTGCCACGTCGTATATAGGGCTCAGCTCACCATAGGCAGGATATTTAGGGAATTCTTGTGTTTGTTTTGTGACACGTTGCTATTGCCCATTGGACAAAAATGATGAATTGCGCATAATCGTTGCGTTGTCCTTGGTCTTACTGTCTCAATTTCCAAGTTATTAACTTGATAAGACCTAAGGTGCCGTACATTGATGGCTCACGTGGTCAGAAGAAATGACGTCAGAAAAACGCACCAACCTAAATGTTTATTAATATTAATAAGGCTCATCGCAAAGCTTAACAGACCAGGCCGTGTCGGTCCTAGCTCTACGGTAGGACCTAAAGTGCCTGAAAACATACATTGGTTTCCATTTTCTGGAAACACTATTTCTAAGGCGTAGTATTAGGGTTGCATTGTAGAGGACGGAAGAGATTTTGCAATTCATTGGACTTAACTATTTAGTCAACCTTTCCCTATTTCTTCCAAGACTTAAATTGGGAAACATGTGCTATGATATTGTAATAATCGTGTGAGGTGTTCTTTGTTATTTCGGCCTTGAAAATACTCAATTTCGCAACATAACTGTAAGTAATGACATAGGCCGTGTCCTTTGTGGGGGGCTTCCAGAGCCATACCTATCAACAACATGTACTGATATAGTTGCAACCGAAGTAGTCTTTACCCCTTGCAAAAATAATGCGTGTTCTTGTAGCTCCAGTCACAAATTTAGCTGCAGCCGAAACAGACTGAATCATTTTTGCTATTCGTAAGTGGAATGATGGTGGTTCAGTTGCTTTATCTGCTTGCTGCGAGAATTGTTAAATTGTCGTGGAGTCTTAAATGGTGTGAGTAGTTTTCTCCAATGAATATCTATTAAATCTTGCGTGCATTGTAACTTAGGACCTAAAATGTATGTAATATATAGTTGTCATGATCTCAGTGCACTACTGAAGATGGTATGGTTAGAATGAAGTACTTCTAAAACAGTCTAGAAAAAAGTAACACAATTCTACATGTAATGACCAAGGTCATGCTGAAGAGCACAGGCGTAAATTCCGGGGGATGAGGGTGTTATTATATCCCCAGTTTGGGGGTATGGGGGTGTTATTATGTACCCGATCGTGGGGGATGAGGGTGTTATTATATACCCAATTCTGGGAGATTAGGGTGTTATTATATCCTCCAATTTTGACTTGCTCGTTTTTGTGATGAGAAAGCTTACAGCGAATTTCGATGATCTTTTCGGACTTCTCAATGACAAAAACATAGCACTAGAAAATTCGATGTCGGTGTGTTATGGCGTCAGCTCCCATCTCCACTTTTGCAATTTCCCTGGCCGGGTAATTATTTTTTATCTACATCATCTTCAGCTTCCATGCCCACAGCCCTTGGCACAAATTAACCCTACAACAACTTTCCAGCAGACTACCGCATCGACATCACTCGCCGCGCCGGAGAGGCATTATTTACCACAACTTTATACCCACACTCATGCCTGGTTTTTGTTTTATTGTCTTATCATTAACAACTTGATAACCAATTACATGCTAACCAGTCGGAATTTTATTTCTGAAATATTTCTTCATTAATTATAATTTTAATTGCACAGTCTTGATACCAGCTATGTTGTTTTCCTCATGGGAGAATAGTTTAATAGACTGCCGTAAAGTCAGTAACCTGTTCGGGTGTCATTTCGTCCAGTCTCATATATTCTTCAATAAACGGCTCATGCTTGTAGTCACAACTAACCTCGTATATTCATTTGCTCAGTTTATATTGAGACCAAATTAAAGATTTTTTTTAGATCAGTTGTGTAAACTGACTACCACCTGTTTCGTAGTCGAAATGACTGACTTCCAACATCCGTCATTTCGTTTTTAATTAAATCTGCTTGCAACTGATCCATACGAGATTATTCGTATAATTCTTGTGAGGATCATGTCAGGATTCTGTGGCATGATCCAACCTTGCAAACAGAAATATTCCACAGTCCTACGAACAGTGGATCTCCAAATAGTAGCGTATCCATTTTTTCCTTCTGTTTGGGTGAAATGTAAAATTTTGTCCGCAACAAATTAATCTCGGGTACTTGTACATATCGGGAATTACTTCCGCTTTCTTCTCCTAAAAGTTCATTATATGTATAAAGTTTTGAAATAAGATAAAACCCCGGCGGGTAAAGCTACCAATCTTTCCTTGATGATTCAAAATGGTTTATGGAATAACCCTTCAAATATAACCACAAAAATGAATGAAATGGCAAGTTGTTACTAAATTAGAAATGAATCCCTTCCTTCTGTGGGCACATCAAAGTGTTAGTGCATGAAACTGGTTATTATAGATAAAAATGAAATGATTGTAATTTCTGCTATAAGCCATGCACGTTGCTGACTCCCCGGATAAACTTACCCTAATTCTAATCCTTTACTGTTTGCAACGCGGGGAGGGGTCTAGTTCCCCTGGAAAACATAAAAACATAAAGAGGGAGAAAATAAAATACGTAAAAAAAAGGAGTGAAAAGAGGATGGAAATGAAACATTTTTTGAAAATGCATTGAAATATACCTCTCTTACCATTGCTACTTTGTGGAATTACTGCTACTGATTGTTTTGTCCCTTTTTAGTGGCGTATCCAGCGGAAGAGGGCAGGAGGCAGCTTGCACCCCTACGTTTTTTTCCGAATGAAACCTCCTTACGACTTTTAGTTACAAAGAATACTTCATTGGTAAGAAATTAATCGGTATATAAATTTATCAAATATCAGCACCAAAACCCTAAAACCCACCATGATTCAATGGCAAGGATGTGGGAACGTCATGTTTGAAAGTACATGTTTAAATTTTCATGGGTAAAAAACTGCAACTAATGAACACTTGTAACCACATAAAGAAAAAATCCTGCTGAGCAAGTGTGCCTCAAGATAGTGCCTTATTAACATGTACAATGCAAATTGAGATACTTTTCCGAGCTCTCTACGAACGTGCCGTAATGTAGTTCCGTTTATAAAATACGTTAATACAAGCAATGAATCTCCTCCCTATCCTCATTCACAAGTAACTTTGATGTGAACGTAATTTTTTTCTAAACTGTTTCCTCAAGTTTGTTTAGGAGTTAAAATTCCATAGAAAGTCACCGTCGGAGGTATGACAGTTTCCGACTGTGTTCTGCCTACAAAAGAAGGATGTAATTGGGCCACGCTAATTGACTAAACAAAACAATCGTAGGATATGTGAAAACAGAAAAAAATGCTTCAATGGGAGTCTCTTCCTTCACATGATACAAGATCAAATAAGATTTCGAGTGAATTGTGTTTTGGTTATTTTTTACGAAACAGATTCAATTACCAAACTATGGCTTTCGATGTATTCGAAGATATACCAGGCAAGATAATGGACGGAGGGGTACCCCCCTTACCTGTCCAATCCCTACGCACACTCTAAACTATTGTTACCNAATGACCAACACAAAGGCAGGGGGGTTCTCTCCGTCCCATATATGGAATTTCAGGCTGTTGATGGTGAGGGACAGCAACAGGTGGAAAGGCTTGCGGTAGCACCATGCGAAGGAATATATCTCTCTTATGAGTATTTGTGGTTCAGAAAAGAATCGGGAGTATACTCAACGTTTTGGACTGCGTGCTCAGTCCTCCTGACGACGGACTATACATTATATATTCCATATATATATATATTCCTTCGCGTGGTGCTACTGCAAGCCGTTCCACCTGTTAAGAAGAACCATCAGTTTTTTCGAACGGGTAACGGCATTTTGTTATTTGACGTCTGTGAACAACTTAGAGATCTGGAAAAATTCCATTACAGCCTATTCACAATTGTACTTCGATCAAACAAAAGGCAAGTTAGGTTACCGCGCGAACCAAATCTTGTAGCGCGTTGCAGCGCCGCACCGGCCCGCCTGACAAAATCCGTTTTCCCTCGGAGTTGCCCTCAATGAGCACGATTTGAACTGTGATCAGCATCCAATCAAAATCTGTTTTGCACAGCCATTTATGATATCACTGACCTGATATGGAACGTAACGGAGTGGCTATCGGAGATTGACAAACATAATGCTAAATATGAATATACAGAAGCGTACTTATAAGGATGCAGTGAGAATTTAGAATTGTTGTGGAGCGGAAATGCTGTATGTTGCATGTTCTCGGTTGATTATTAGTGAATTCTTACTGCGTACTTTTACAATCATCACGTGATGCGAGGTCATACATGTAGTAGTGATGTACACTTTACATGTAAATATATACGTGTATTTATAGTACGGCTTTTGACCCCCCAGTTCTTCCCAATTAAAAGAAATGGCAAAGTGCCGGTCAGAGGACGTCAAATAGACCACCTGCAGACTGTCAGTCCGTTGGTCACAAAGGATGTCAAGAGGCCATATGCAGACTGCAGTAGTAGGCGTAGGAGAGTTCTGGAGCAGCCCCACCCTCCTATATCTACCCGACCCCCCCAAACTGGGACTCCCCCCTAGACCGATTCCCCTTCTTCTCGACCCTCGGGATTCCACCCAACCCCGGGGAATAGATCGCCTAGCGACGCCTAGCGACAAGACGCTCCGTTTGTTATTTACGCTGATTTCGAGTCTGTTTTACAGCGTCTTCCACCAGAATCATTAAACACGATTAAAACGCAAATTCATAAAGCGTGCGGCTACTCTTACGCGGTCGTTCGATGTAACGGTGTGTGTACCAGCCGCAAAACATACAGAGGCCAAGACGCAGCCATTCATTTTGTACAATCGTTATCTAGAGAATTTGGATTGCCGATCCAAAGCCACACCTGGACACCCGAGCAACACAAACTCTACGATAAATGCAACGTCTGCTGGATATGTGAAAGGTACATTAGTTCAACCAAAGAATCGCAGGGTCAATGCCCTATCCCAGATGAGCCGAAGACAAAAGACCAAAAAGCGGATTTTGGTTTCAAAAACGACCGCGGCCTCACGGAGTACAACTGCATGAGCTGCGAGAAGCCCATAAAAATTTTTTGCAATGTGCGCAATCACTGCCACATCATGGGTAAGTACAGGGGCCCAGCACATACCCACTGTAATCTAAAACTACGTGTATTACCAAATCAAACATCAGTCCCGGTGATCTTACACAACTTGGAGAAATACGACGCGCATCTGATGATGCAAGGAGCTCGCGTGTTCAACGGTAGTAAAATCAACGTCATTGCTTAAAACACCGAGAATTACATTTCATTCTCATTTGGTCAGCTTAGGTTCCTCGACTCGTTTCATTTCATGGCTGCTTTGCTCGATCGATTGGTTAAAAATTGTTCCCCAGACGATTTCAAATTACTCTGCGAGAGATTTCCAAACAACACGCACTTGCTTTCATTTACTCTTATGAGTATATCGACTCCTTTGGTCGATTTGAAGAAACCAATTGATTTGAAGCAACACAACATGGTGTAGACCGCTGTGCCACACACATGATTCAGATAAAAGTTTGTTTCAGCCACGGAATTTGACGAGCAGGATCAATACTTACCTCTGTAATTATTCAAGAATTTTCAGTTGCTTGGGATATCTGCGAGTCCTGGACTCAAACAGGCACTCTCTTGTGGACGATGCTTACTTTTGGAAAGCGTTTGAAATGAATCAGGAGCATAGTTGTGGCGGTGAAAAACCACGCACGTACAGGTCTATGTCTAGGTTTACGGTCAACTCGGTCCGTAACCAACTCGGTCTCAGATCTACTCGGTCCCTTTGGAAAAAAATGATTATTTTTAACTTTGACGCGACTTCTGGTAAATAACCCCAGTCAGTCACTAGCCAAGCCCATCTAAGCCGAGTCCAAAACGACCCCAGTCCGAGCCGAGTCACGAGTCCAAAATGGATCATTACATGTACATGTCCGTATTCATGTACATTTCCACTCGTTCATGTATCTTCATATATCCGCGATCTCCACACTGCCAAGTGTTTTCTCTCTTTCCATCTGTCTTGTGCCAATGCGACAAATCAACCACCAATCAAGTTTGTAAGGTATTCTCATTGTATGCTTTATAGTTTCTTGGCCATCTCTGAAATGTTCTTCATTTTTCCTGTTGATACACCCCCGAGTTAAGCTTCGAAAAACAGAAGTTGACTGCAGTAGATTAGAGTCATCTAAGTCCCTACATTACAGAATTCTTGAGCTTGTGTTAAGTCGCCAAAAAGGCATAACGGACGTGGTTCCAAGACACCAAAAATATCTTCAAAGTCATCAGTGATTGGCTGATGAAGTCTATTCAGCAGATGAAACTGCTTCATTAGGACGTCCAGAAGACATGGAAATGATGGTAACATGCTGGACAGTCATTTTTGATTACCGCCCTGGCCCAAGGCCTAGACAGGCCACTGTGCTAGAATGCTGGATAGTATAAACCGGTCTTTCAGTCACAATTGTCAAACAATTGGTCAGAGGACGCTTTTTATGCAGTGCAGTTCTGCAGACTAATTCGTCAATATTTTGGCTTCAGTGAGGACGCTAAATATGCCAATTAAGCCTTGGCTATGAGCCGTTATACCGCCGTGCCGAACTTTATTAAAATGGCGTCGCGTCCCAGTCGTGTTTTTCCTACAAGATGCTGCCAAAACTGTAGTTGGCTGTCGGTAAACAAAGTAAAAGAATAAGGACCACGTTTATAACCTTGGAATTTCAACCTAGCTTCCGTATTCATCGAAATCTTTCAGCCACCGTTGGAAATGATTTCGTTTGGAAAATACACGTTTTTGGGATATCATTTGGCAAAGGTTGATGGGTATTAAAGTTTCTAAACGATTAATCTTTTCTTTGAAATTCTACATAAATTGCAGTCGTTGTAGTTACTTTAATTAAAAATTGTTCAAGAACAGAAGGAGAGTTAAAATTGAGGTTAAACTGAAAGTAAATCGACTAGATGCGATTTACAATCCACGCAGACAAACGATAAACATTAAATGTTACAATTATATCGGGCCTATGAATATAAATAAGTAAAAATGACGAACAATGACGAAATAAACAAAATAGAAGGAGTCTGCATTAAAATCAATAAAAATATATGTAATGTGGAGGGACTGTTTCACTTCAAATGATAATCTGAAATGGCATCAGACTATAAACGTGAAAAACCGAAATATTCAGAGAGAACAATCACCCACAGAACATCTAAAACGGTACACTTACTGAGAGCGTTTCTATCAAAATCAATTGTCTATTTAAGCAATTATGATCCGTCACATTTTCTATAGAATGGACAAATTAATGTTCAGTCTTAAGAAAACTCGCCTCTTTTCTGAATAGGGCGACGTCACAGGAGTGGTTTATTGACGTATAGAATACACTGTATCAGTGTATTAATATCACGTTTGAGGCTCTGCAGTGAAAAAGGAGGAACATAAACAAAAAATCAGAGGTCAAATTTGACGAATGCGAGATACAGCCCCTGTGAATCTCCTCAATTTGGCTGAAAACACGCGAACACCACTATTTTGACGGTGCCCTGTGTAACAACTGGAAGGAGAAAACAAAAAAACCTGATCGTCGAGAGTTTTTTCAAAACAAGGAGAATGACGGTCTGTTTATTTTATATCTGCCAGAATATCAATTCAAAATAGCCGCGAACGTTTCAGTTCAGAATAACCCTTTTATTACATGTCCCTACTAGTAATTCGAATCAAATCATTATGCTGGTTTGACGTATACTCGTCAGAGTATACTTAAGAGAGAAATCAAAAGATATTGGGAGCCCTTGCTCGTCAGAGTATACTTGAGAGAGAAATCAAAAGATATTGGGAGCCCTTAGCTATAACAGTGACGAAAGTAATTCTGAATTGACAACAAAACTAAGGTCTTCAATGTTTGCACTTATCAAATATTCTGAGAAATGAAGTTCTCTGACACTTTGTAATGAAGGCCTTGCAGTACGCAGCTGTACCAAATGGCTGCTTTGTAATCGTTGCTGTTTGTCTCGATTCCTCGTAGAGATTATACATGTAACTCTTCAGAATGTATTTGATACAACCAACGGTTCATGCATATGTCACGCAATCCGTTTCTGGACTATATTTTAATCAGAACGAAAAAAAACACGATAATTTATTATGTAAATTGGAAAACCAATCACGTCAAGGGGGAATTGTAATCCATTACACGAAAATATTACGTTTCTAATCATTGCTCTTACACACTTTCCTCATAATCGTACATGGTGGATTTATGTGACAAGAGTGCGCTAATTCATAGTGGGAAAAGGCTAATTAATTTTATTTCATTTAACTGTGTACTTTCTTTGCATTTGCAGGATTATAACTAAACGGTTCTTTTGGAATCAGATGTCTTATTGCCCACATGGTGAAAGGTAGGAAGTTTTCTGTTCTAAGTGAAAGAGAGTCACGAATGTGACACACTTTTTGTAATGCTAATGGGTGATCAACGCTAGTGTGATGTGGGTAAACATGCAGGTATACACCCTTGACCAGGCTCTAAGAAAAGTGAATGAACTACTTCAGACCGTGGTCGTGTCGCGACCCTAGATGGTCTGTTCCAAATGGGATATCGAAATGTGGCAGGGCGCGTAAGCTGAACACAACCGATACGGCTTTTACCAATTTGACATTTATTTTATCCCCATGTCACACTCCTAACTTAATACCGGTTTCAATTAAGCCCTGCATAGAGATGGATCCCTATTTGCCCAGATACAATGTAACGAGATTTCAAAGTGAAAAGTTTCGAATTGTTTGTATAACAGAGGATAATTTCGATTTTTAGTAAAACTTAATTGTGGTATAAAGGTCCGAAAATAATAATTTTCCATTCTTATCCTTTCCCTCTGAATAGTCATTAATATAAAGTTTAATTTTCTACAATTAATATATTCTAAGCAGAAGTACACACAAATGTTTGTTTAACAAAGGTGAAAGAAATTGTCATCGATTTTACGTTGTTTGTATTTCATCTTCAACCTTTCCTCGCTTCACTGAAAAAACCTGTTGAACTTCACACTTGTGTCGTCAATTTTGTAATTTTATTATTTTAACATCGCCACTGCCATTATCACAAGTTCAAAAGAAAGAATATATTGGCTCAAGTTATATTTGTCCATTTGGCCAGAAATCTGGCTGATTGTAAACAGTAAAATAACAGGTCAGACCTGAATTTGAGCGCATAAACAATGCTGGCGCAGCACGAAGCACACAAATACCGCCCTCTCTTGATTAACAGGCGCTCATTTCAAAAGCGCCTTGAATGTACATTGTACATGTAGCCTACATATATATGTATGATCATAATGTCTCCATAATTACACGTGGATGCCACATCGTGCAGATTCCATGCTGGAAGTCACCCTGCGGGAAGAAGTATAGTAAGAAATGCCGCCTAAGTATTTAACCTTGCTTTATTTGGTCTGGATAGGTGTGCTTGACCTCGGGTCAGTGCTAGGTGAAAAGCAGATGCATTTTAGGCCTACGTTGTTTTGCATGGCAAAAGTGCATTAACCTCGGGTTGTTTTCACCGTGCTGGTCGGATCAGTCGTACACAATTCGCGTCCTTCACGATTTCTCTGGACATGCCAGACTTAGGCCTACGCATATCACCATGACCACGTCACACGTGTACACACACTTTGCGTGCACAATTCTTGGATAGGCCCTATATATAGGCCTACTGTAGGTATGTACATATATGTAGGTCCAGCCTGAGTCCAATTCCAGGGTGAGCTTGAGCATGTTGAGTGCACGTTGCTATAGGTATTCTACCTCCATGCATATGATTAGGTGTAGGCCTACCGCTCGAGACTACTTCCAGAACTGTAAGGTTTATAAAAACCTAACAGATAGCCATGTACAAACTCCGGTAAACATGTTTTGATTGTGCCAACCAACCCTTCCATCACAGCTATTTGTGCAACCAAATTTCAAACAAAGTTCTTGGTGAAGTTAGATGTCAGATGGGGAGGTTTATTTACCTCAGCAATTGGTCAGAGAGTACATGCTCAGTGACGCTGGTGACTTTCTGTAGTGTGGATGGGTAAAATGCTCAAGAATTTCACCATTTTAATGAGGATATAGGCCTAGGGTGAATAAACCTTCCCATTTGACACCTTACTTCACCAAAAGGCATGTGTGAACTTTGGTTGCACAAATAGCTGTGGAAGGGTAAGTTGGCACAATCAAACAGCTACAATGTGTTTATAAGTTTGTATATGGCTATCTGTAAGGTTGTATAGACCGTACAGTTCTTGAAGTACATGTAGCTGGAGACTATGGGGGATGTGGATGCTTTGTGTGTTTTAGACTTGGGTGGGTTATATCATTTTGCCGTTATGTTTCATTACCATTATTATTTACGTACACATCCTTTTATTCTAACCTTACCAAGTTTCACTGAGCTGTGTGCTTTCCTTCAATGATCGTGTTTTGTGGTATTTTAGAGCTTTACTTTGGTCATATTTACACATTAAAATTTTAATTTCATGTTCTTTCCTGGGAAACTAAACTGCTGTTTCAAAAGAAAGTCATTTTTCTGTCACATACTGGTACATGAAGATACATGTACACGTACCAATGCATAAAAGTGCATATGGCAGTCTAGATCAGTAAACAGAGCTCTACGTACATTGTATACTCTTTCAATGATGCTGTATATCGATGATGGAGTATGCGTAGGGCCCTGTTTGTGGGTCTAGATATAGACCCAATAATTTACATGTACATGTATATGATCTTCTTTAACAGTTTTCGAAGTAAGAATGACCCACTTATTGAGAATTCCACTCTGCAGCCATTGCTTCAGTATTAAATGCCAGAGATGGATCATACAGCAACATGTACATGTATTGGCAAACCCCTTTCCTTTGATAAGCTGCCGTAGTTGTTCCGACTCCTCATACAAGCCAAGACTCAACCCAATCAATATACAAATGTTGTCTCAGCATCTGCATGAACAAATCTTCAAGTCTGATAAAAGACGAAGACAGATGGAGCCCTCTTCGGAAGACATTCAGAAAAGCATCCAGCATCTAAAAGACCATGGCTTATGGGGCAAGCATGTTGACTTTCTCCCTGAGGTGGATTTCAAACTTCCTAAACTCTATGGGAGGAATATTGATGAGCATTTCCGGGTTCTGGCCAATAAACAGAGTGATAAATACATCAAGATATCAGAAGCGTTGTCATTTGGATCACTTCCAACAATGCCACAGGAGTGGGCATTTATGAAAGGCTGGACAATGTATGATGGGAGTGGAAACCAGACAGCAGTGGACTACCCATTAGAAGAAGCTGTTGTATTTGATGTGGAATGTCTGATGGCTGAGGGTAATTTCCCAACTCTAGCTGTGGCTGCCTCAACAGAAGCCTGGTAAGAATTGTGGATGCATTGCATAGGGGACAAAAACAATAAAGGCTTTTTCTGTGAAATCTTTCAAGATTTTCTTCCTGATTCTAATCCTTAAAAATATTAGAAGGCCTGATCAGTGGCACTTTGCTATCAACACAATGAAACCAGTGAAGAGATAATGCAAATACATGTATGCTAGGAAATCTTGTGAATTATTGGAAGACAGGAAAAAAAACCAAAATGCTGGATGTGCACACATGTAGATATTGAGCCTACAATGCACACATAAATTCACACACGACAGAGTTGGATAAGGATCTATCTCTACCTTTTGTATGATATTTGTAATCATATGCTGCTGCCCAGCCAATCATTTGTGTACACATACCTACATGTAACGTCCCTCATCCTTTTTCTTTTGCAGGTATTCTTGGTGTAGTGAGCGTCTAGTGGAGGAGCATCTCTCCCTTTCTCCCCGCATCACTCCTGCTGATCTTATCCCCATGGAAACAACTAATTCGTTTAGATTATCCGAATCAGTTCGTTGGAAAGAACGACTAGTTGTTGGTCACAACGTTAGCTTTGACCGCAGTTTCATCAAAGAACAGTATTTCCTGAAGGTATGTGCATTGGTTTTGGGTTCACATAAACAATGCCCCTGTTTATTTGTAATATCATGATGATTTTGTCCAGTTTGTTTGATGTATATTTATAGGGTACTAAAACCCGTTTCTTGGATACATTGAGTCTACACATGGCAGTGTCGGGACTGACTACATACCAACGAGCTTTGTGGCTTGCTGACCGGACTGGAAAAGGAGCCAAGACTCAGTACTTAGCAAAGAAAGCCAGCAAGAAGCCTGCTGGACCTCCTGTAAGTCGTCTATTTGATCAGTAGAAAGATTTCTTGGTATCTTTACTGGTCATTTATAATACTTTTCTTTTCCTTTTGCTGATACATGTAAGCTGCATTCAACTCGACTTGCTAGCTCAGTAAGGGAAAGTACATGTATGTGCAGCATTGCAGCTTGCGACACAGCAGACTTGTAGTTATTTGTTTCAAATGTTCCAACTTTGCATTACCTTTACAAGGCAAAGCGAGTGAAAACTACGAATTTATGGCCTTGAAGTTGAACCTCAAAGTTTTGTCAAAAGGACATTCCAAGATAAATGCATTTGAAAATACCAGCCATTTCAATACACATGTTCAATCACCTGTATATTGTAAAAAGTCCTGAAATGTAAGGCTTGGAAAATACTAATCCACATTTAGTTACAGATATATTGTTTTAATTAAAGAATAATTCATTAATAAAAACTAGTAAAAGGTTTTTCACTTTATAAAAACAGAAAAACCTAGAGGTCTTTATATTTTTCCTATTGCTTTATACCCGGTACATACTTTTTGTCACTTCGTGAAAAAAATGTGCGCTTGAAGAAAATTGTTTCTGTACATTTCATTACATTTCAACTCGCGCGGTGTTTATGTACAACATCACACACGATGTGTGCGCACACAAACTTGTGCAGAGATAGAGCGTATTGTCTCTACTTTTGCCCTGCTAATGATGTGACTTCTTGTCTCTTCATGAAAACAAAGAAACACAGAGACTGAGCTTTTCGTTGGTTGTTTTTTTGTAGTTATTAGGAAAGTAAACAACATTTTGCTTTGAAACTCTGCTAAGTTTTTCTTTGGATCACAGGAAGTAAAATCTCAAGATCAAAAAATGATCAATTTTCCAGTTTTTAGTCACTTTGTGAAAACACTGACAAAATGGAGCATTGACAAATTTTATTTAAGAGGCCCACTCTTCTCCATGAGCAGCTGAGAAGCACATACTAATATCCAACTTTCATAAAATTGGTTTCAAAATGATCATTGGACTTCCTGGAGAAAAATTCTGGAAGGTTGAGCATCATTGCTTGAAAAAACTGTGTTGTAATAATACGCAGAAAAAGCAAAGGATATAGCAGATTCCTTCTCCCGTTGGTTATGATTAATCATACATAAATGGCTGGTTTAGGTGATAGTTTATGATCATGTGGGAGAATGACATGTTGAAATAAGTAAGAAGTTGAAATACTGTGTACATTTACAAGTACATGCAGTGGCATAGTGTTGGCAATAAGCATCCATCTACATGTACATGAGGACTTCACACGAAACAACTTTGTCAGCCAAACCAGTGCCAAACGGTCACGCGTGAGGCAAGTTTAGTGAAGAGGAATGTAATTTCCTTTCAAATTCAAATTATTTTTGTCCAAGGGCACTTACTGATTGACTTGTATGTTACAGTGCTTGCTTATAAAATCCCAATACAGTTCTCATCAAAATGATGATGACAGTATTGGTGCTTGCCATGACCATGTCATTACTAAACAAAATGAAATGTCTGGCAATCAGGACTTTGAATATGTTGCTCTACATACATGTAGACCCACAAAAGTCTAGTAAATTACATGTATGGTCCAAGAAATGATGACCTTCCCCCCAAATGCGTTGGCCTACATTATTAACTTGTTCTAATGAAACCGTTTTACACCGTCAAAACACCAAAAAAACTTTTGAAGATCCATTTAAATTGACTCGCGTGGTTTGAGGGAGAACAGTTCATTTGTTACTTGTTTAGAAATGCCAGCGTGTACATGAAGAGGATTTGTACCCTGGGTCACAGAGGTGGGGGGGGGGGAAAGTACCACCACAACCTGACTCCCCAAATTCAAGATTTGTATTTGGTGGGGTACACATGTATATTTTGCAAAGTACAATTTTTTAACCAATATTTTGACAATCAAAGTATAGCTTAATTTTCATTTTTCACATTTCTTTACAGTCCACCAAGTGGCTTGATGCAAGCAGTCCAAATAATCTTGCTGATGTGTATGCTCTTTATAGTCGAGATAATGAAAGGTTAGACAAGAGCAAACGAGACACATTTGTTACAGGCACAATGGAGGATGTACGCAGTGATTTTCAGGTATTAGAGAACTACATTAGTATTATGAAGTTTGACGTACAGTGGACATGTCCGTGCACAACTTTCAAAATGGTGAAACTTTGCATAAATTTTCATTTGTAATCAATCATATCCTTCATTTTTGGAAAGTTGTCAGCAGGCAGCTTGTTGGTATATGTACTACTTTCATGGACCTAGAGTACCAAAGGCTGGCATCATTCAGAACTAGTAAATGCCACACATGTACAAATGAATGAAGTACATGTACATGGTTTACATGTTAATGCCTTTTACAGACATATTTGTGCGTGTGACGTATTCACTTTGGTACTCTGTAGTGCCATACATGTTTATGAGCTCTCAACCAATTTGTTCTTCAAGCATGCCCCTTAGAAACTATTATCCTGCTTCCTACATGTGTACCGTACATCAGTTGTTTCCTTCTTCATGCACACGAAAGCATGTGATACACACAAGTTGTTTTGTGCACAGGTACATGTAGTTATGCTGCACAAAGTCCAACATATATTTGCTTAATTGTTGTGTGACCATCTGGTTTAATATTTCTGCCTTTTTAGGAACTGATGTCCTATTGTGCTAAGGATGTAGAAGCAACTCATGTTGTCTTCACTCACCTGTTCCCTAAATTTTGTGAAAGGTGAGTGGAATTTTATTTCCTATTCCAAAGAAATGTTTTTGTGAGGTGTTGTTTGAATTCGGAACATTTTAATTTATGGGAAGTTGACAGGTGATGTACGTGCACATAACTAATTTTATACAAGTGTCATGGTGAAGTTAGTTTGTAAATATGTGAGTTTATCCATCTTATTTTAGGTTCCCCCATCCAGTAACGTTTGCTGCCACTTTAGAGATGGGTCAAGCCTACTTGCCTGTCAATCAAAACTGGGAACGCTATCTGAGGGAATCACAAGAAACATACGATGACCTCCAACAAGAGATGAAAATGGCTCTGATGCATCTTGCTAATGATGCTTGCCAACTCATGCAAAATGATGGGTAAGGCTCTGAAGAAATGGAAATCATTAAACCTATCAGTCTGACAGACAGTTAACATTTATTGTCTTTTGGAATGTGGGACATGATACATGTATTTCAACACTCTAAGGATTCATAGCACCCGAGATGAAACCAAGGAACCTGTGTATCCCTGAGAGTGTTAAACCATTACATCCCACCTCATAGCAGTTAATAATTGATCCGTTCTCCCGCTGTCTTCAATTCTTTACACTGTTTCTTTACCTTGAATTTCTAGGATTTAATTGAATTGTTGAGTACATGTACCTCAGTTGTTAGTGCACAGAAAGCTGTATGACGTGTATGGACTCGATACGTCCCAGCATTGGTTTAATTGTGTTTGTTACACATGTCTTGATCGAAACCAATATCTTTGCATTTTAAACATACATTTTGGAGTAAAATCTTCATGTAACTTAAAACTGAACAGATATACGTCTATGTATGTATGTTTAAGATCAGATATGAAGAAACAAACTTCCACCATCCCCCAAAATTATGGCATCCCATAAAACTGAACAGTTTGCAGTGCCAAGTAAATGATACCTCTAGTTTATTGTTATCAATTGTATGGAAAAGGAAGTAGAGGTACCATTACATGGCCTGGTTAACAGTTCCTCCATTATGGGTGTGGACTATGGGGAATAATCTATGATATCACCATGTGATGTGATTAGCAGTGAGGCTGATTTGTCACCCAGTCATGTGATCATGCTGGGCCAATCAAATACCATTTTCAGGTCAGGTATAAAAATGATCTATTATGATTCCTTTGGGTTCAGTTATGTAGAGGACCCCTGGCTCTGGGAACTAGACTGGTCAACAGAAGACTATAGACTTAAGAAAGAAGTTATCCATAAGAAGCGTAGAGCTACATGGACATCAAAAAGTGTGGAAGAGGAGGCTACAACTGTGTGTGAAATGTCTAAGGACGATGCTGATAAAGATGTAATGCCTGTGATGAAAACATCTCAAGGAGTTGAGATGGTGGTGGGAGATGGATTAACTGAAGAGGAAAGGTTGGAGAATGAAGCAAGACAGGAGCGATTAAGAGAAGTCATGGAAACAGCCAAACGGATACCAAAGATTAAACAGCACATGGTGGGATACCCAATGTAAGCCATTTAGCATTTGTTGGAGGAAGTTTTTTAATTAGAAAAATTCAATTCTGTGACAGGCAAATCATATTTCCTTTCATTTACAACTTATTGTTCTACTCAAGGCCAATAGATGTAAGTTTAATACTGGACGGATAGCAGTTTTTCTTATAAACAAGCTATTGTCATTTATTTTAAAGGAAAAGTTGTAAACAATCTCCTTATATGGAGATTGGTGCACATGTGATGTGCACTGATTGAAGTGGTGCGCAGCCATCCAATGCATAAGGGACTAGCTATGTGCTTGGCTCAGGAGAATGGATGTGACTTATACCAGAACATCATTAGTTTTCATTTTCCTGAGCTGGTCTTAAACGTTACATGTAGTTTAAGACTGACCAAGCACATAAATATTCCCGTTCATAAATACCATTTTAGTCGGAGAGTCAGTATGTGGTAAATTTCCAAGGATTTTGGTCAGTAATTTACTTTCATTTCCTCAACTACCCACATCCTTGTGCAATTAGTCCGTAAGAATCTCCTTATATGGACTTGGTGTGAATGTGGCAAATCAATCAGAATCGATTAACCTGTCTTGTATCCAGGTGCCAGCATGTGATTCACGCAGTGCGTATTGTCACATCGCAGTGGGCATTGTCAAATGTCATTACATGGTCAAGTTGCATGTTTATGAATAACCATTTAAGACCGACCATGTTTTGAACTCTTGACCCATACAAATGGCTGAACTGTCTAGGAACATGTATTTGTGACCAAGGGAATAAACACATGCATGAAATGTATGTGCTTGGCTGGGGTGGTTTTTGTTAAGACTGGCTCAGGAGATAGTGTGTTTGATGAGCTTCCACAAGTTACACAGGGTTTACCTTGTCCCCACTGTGTCGCTTGTTTGACACAGGGTCAGGGCTCCACTGTATACATCTAGTTAATCAAATACTTCCCCAGTGAACATCATTTTCTTCAACAAGTTTACTTTATTTTAACATCCCTCTGGACATGTAATGGTATGTTCCTTGCAAGTAGTCGTAAACAATCTCCTTATTTGGAAAATGGCACAGACATGGCATAAATGAATACGAAGGGTCTTAACTGTCTTAGTTACTTTAAGTTTAATTTAAGACAAAATAATTGCCCACAGTTAATCAGTGTTCTCAAATTTTAATGAATTTGAGTCAAATAAATGGAAAAAGGATTGGTTTGAGTGACTTGGCTTTGAGAAAGATTCAAATGTCCCACAAAAATCTGTAAATTGACTACATTCAGATGAAATGTTGACGACTGAGTTTGGGACTGTCATCATATTTAATATGAATTTGAGAATTGTCTGTCATTAATTTGCCAACAGGTGGTATCGAGAGCTTTGTCCCAGGAAGGTAGATAATGATTGGGCTCCAGGACCTTGTCTCATTAGCTCTCAAGTTAGAATAGCTCCAAAACTCCTGCGATTGACATGGGAAGGCTACCCACTGCATTATGACTCAAGGCATGGATGGGGTTACCTTGTGCCTGAAAGGAAAGAGGAAGAGAGGAAGGAAGAACTTGAAAATGATGATGGAGGAAGTAAACAAAACCGGGAGACAGTACAGTTTCCTGTAAAGTAAGTGGACTTTCCATGCATCACCCCACAGAAAATTTGGCTTGGTTTGTGAAGTAGATCACAAACTTGGTAAAGGTATTTGCAGTATAAGCCATGGATTATGAAAAAGTTGCTGAAAGGTTGAAATGTGAGTGTTTTTTAGGGATAGAATATTTACAGTGAGGAGGTCATTGGTGTGGGTTTTTAAGTAATATTGCCAGGTTTTCCTGACATTCTCTTGGAAGTTCAGAGCATTGTGAAAGATGTTTCTTAAATCCACATTTCACTTCAGATAGGAATTATGGAATATACTGTAAGCATTGTCATGTAGACACATTTACGTACCCTTTACACAGTGGCTTTCAACACCGTTGTAATAGGTTGAGCTTTAGGGATGTGGGGGAGGTTGTGTCATGATAAAGAGATATCAGTACTAAATAAACAAGTGGTCTTGGGTTTGAATCCTACCCAAGCACATGCAACTCACAAAATTGTTCTGTGCACACTCTCAGACGCACAAGTACTGAACTAAAAGAGCATACTTCATGTACATGGTTGAATTCAAAACCCTAGAATAGTTAGGCTAAATTTCCATCCAAACTTCTTTCAAAACAAGGTGTGTTCATAGAGGATAAAATAGGCTCACATTTTGTGTTCTAAAGAAGTTGCAGACACATAATCTGTTCCAGCTAACTATTTTTTTGGGATAAGGAAATTAATGGTTAACCGTTAACCATTGCCATTGAATGATTTTTCTTTGGTTCTTGATTTAAACAGCAGCTTGAAGAGTTTCATCCAGGACAAGATTCCTGATAACAGTGCACCTTCACTGAACATAAAAACATCACCGATAGACTTGGATTCACAAGCTAGTGTGATACAATCCAATGTTGAAGACTATTGGACTTACAGTGAGGACGAAAGTATGGTAAGCTTAGGATCATTCTTAGTAATTTATTATAGATTCCAAGTCCGCTTCATAATGTTTGCTGTACAGACTCTTTCAAAACTTAATCATGGAACAGGTGTTGTTTTGTGTAGTCACACAGAGTGTCAAAAAATCACAAGGCAACCAAGTTGACATTAGACAGTCAAATTACATGCGCCCCGTGATTATCAAATGAAGGAATTAAAAAATCACAAGGCAACCAAGTTGACACTAAACAGTCAAATTACATGCGCCCCGTGATTATCAAATGACGGAATTAAAAAATCACAAGGCAACCAAGTTGACACTAAACAGTCAAATTACATGCGCTCTGTGATTATCAAATAAAGGAATTCAACTAAACATAATTAATGAAAATTGTTTGAAATTTTATTTCTTTGTTGAGCTGAGCATAAAAATCCTAAGAGAGAAAAATCCCAAAGTGGCTAAATTTGTCAGCAGAGTGGACTAGTTCTTGGGGACCCGACTTTCAGGAAATAACCATTTTTGCAAGTTTTGGAGGAAGCAGGAAACTCATAGGAACCTTTGGAAACAAATTTCATTGTTGATGGAACGTGGCGAAAACTGCACCTGTGACTAGTGATATGTACATGTAAATCATTCTGACAGGCTAGAGCTGGTGAGAAAGATGCTACCAACTCAGTGCTAACTGTTCATTTCCAACATTCTTATTGACAGTCTGATGATAATGATAGAATACCTTCTCTAAAGCCCCCTGGTAATCCAAAAGACACTTCAGATGATCATAGTCAACAGCCTTACCATGATGTCAAGATACCTGGCTGCTGGTTCTATAGGCTTCCACACAAGGTACCAGTTGTGAAGAGTTTCCTAATTCACAGTGTTAATAAGAGGCCGTCTTAAAACTCTTCCGGAACAAGTTGCTGGTAGCACTTTACTTCACCAGCAAGCAGCTCTACATTTGTTCTGGATCAGTTGTGACAAAGTTTTACTGGCAACCTGTTATCCTGCAAAGGAGGGTTGACATTTGGCCTGATGGGGGCCATAGTAGGTTGCTCCCCTTCCCCTAACAATACTAGCAGAAGAGTGGCCTTGGATTGGTCAACCATGGACGAAGAAATAGACACAAGCCACCTAACTTAGCAGACCAAAGTCTTAACTTCTTGTTTTTTTCTATCTGAGAAGGCATTATTCAGAGGGATGAGAAAAGAACTATTCTTTAGTTACCCAAAAAAATTTCTGTACTTGTACATCAATATGTACACATGGCATGTGGTGCTCATGGCCAGAACAACATTTTGATGACATCAAACACACATGTTCAGTCCCAGTTAAACAGTGCACATTCCTATGGAGAGCAATGTTTGTAAAATGAAATCAGACGATACATAATTCTTAATACAGTGAAAGGTTTTGGCAACACCATTTCGCTGAAACCATTCTTAGCAAACTATTTTTAACAAGTGAATCCAAATCCTTGATCATAACCTTTATTTAGACCTGATATGAAAGCAGAATTAGTCCTCAGAAGGTGGTTCTCAGGACAGTTATTCAATCTTGCCAAAGCAAATCTTTTCATGTAATGGTTCTAGTTGATTGGACTGTGCCTGGTCGTTAGTCACTCTCTGTGGTTTAACAGGTGCCCTTGAGTGGCTAACCTGGTCCAAACCGCAAACCATAGTTGAGGGGAAATATGAAAATGAACTGATTGCTTTGCTCTAGCATCTGAGACCAACAACAATGTCTAGATGAACACTGAGGTGGCTCCCTATGCATGTTATCGCTCTCCTGACAGATGTCATTGTAATAGTTCATATGCTTTCTCAACATCAGAATAAATATTCCCATTGTAACAACAAAACAGTAAATTACTTCCAAGCATTCAAGTTGGCCAATTAATTTGTAATACATTGTACTTGTGTTTTTCATAATTTGTTTTGAGCTTTGTGAAGTTCCTAACAATGTGTCTTGTTGCTGTCTTAGGATGGTGGATCAAACAAAGTTGGTAACCCCTTAGCCAAGGACTTCTTGAATAAACTTGAAGATGGAACTTTAGCTTCGGCAGGAGGAGCACAAGCCACTCGTATCTTGGAGATCAATAAACTCATCTCATTTTGGAGAAATGCAAGCAAGAGAATTAAGTAAGAGAATTATTCAGTTCTACATTCAAGGCTTCATCCAGAATGAAGTATTGAAGAAAATTACGCTGTTCTCGAAGGTTTTGTGAAGAGTTTATGGTTAAACTACTGAGCTCTAGGGGTTATCAAGTTAGTGTATTAGTAAATCATTTGACTCTAAGGGTTATCAAGTTAGTTTATTAGTAAATCATTTGACTTTAAGGGTTATCAAGTTAGTGTATTGGTAAAATCATTTGACTCTAAGGGTTATCAAATTAGTGTATTGGTTAAATCATTTGACTCTAAGGTTATCAAGTTAGTGTACATGTATTGGTTAAATCGTTTGACTCTAAGGGTTAACAAGTTGAAGTCTGCACCTCCCTAAAATATCCCCCCCCAAAAAGTTTTTTCAAAAAAGCTGATTTAATGGGGTGTCTTGGATGAGGAGGTTATTCTATAAAGAGATTTCGCAAAATACCTGCATTCAAACAAGGGGCTGATGATTGCACTTTTGACAATGATTTTTTAAAATTGTTATTTTAAAAAGTTAAGTGAGAAACAAAAATTTGATACAATGTTCTGCTTCAATCTGAAGTTTGCTTTTTTTTTGTTTTTGTGTAAATTGTCTGTAGAAGGTAGTGCTTTTACCTTTCTTAGAACAAACTAACCCTTGGATTCCTCACTTTGGCCTTAAAAGTTCACAGATGGTTGTTGGACTTGAGAAGAACCATCTTCCTCGAGCTGTGACCCGTAACCATGACTACGATGAAGATAGTTTCTATGGTGCTATTATCCCTCGTGTCATTACTGCGGGAACAGTCACTCGTCGAGCAGTTGAACCCACTTGGCTGACTGCAT